TGTGGAATAAAAAAAAATCAAATTGATAAAATAATAACAATATCACGACGTTTCGATCGCAACACAAGCAATCATTATCAGGTGAAAAATATAGCGGGAGAGCTGCTGAGGCAGGAAAAACATATGGCGGGAGCTAAGGTAGGAAGTTATGTAGTGGGAGAGTTGCTAAGGCAGGAAGTTATATAGTGGGAGAGTTGCTAAGGCAGGATGTTATATGTTGGGAGAGTTGCTAAGGCAGGATTTTATATAGTGGGAGAGTTGCTAAGGCAGGAAGTTATATAGTGGGAGAGTTGCTAAGGCAGGAAGTTATATAGTGGGAGAGTTGCTAAGGCAGGATGTTATATAGTGGGAGAGTTGCTAAAGCAGGAAGTTATATAGTGGGAGAGTTGCTAAGGTAGGAAGTTATATAGTGGGAGAGTTGCTAAGGCAGGAAGTTATGTAGTGGGAGAGTTGCTAAAGCAGGAAGTTATGTAGTGGGAGAGTTGCTAAGGCAGGAAGTTATATAGTGGGAGAGTTGCTAAGGCAGGAAGTTATATAGTGGGAGAGTTGCTAAAGCAGGAAGTTATATAGTGGGAGAGTTGCTAAGGCAGGATGTTATATAGTGGGAGAGTTGCTAAGGCAGGAAGTTATATAGTGGGAGAGTTGCTAAAGCAGGAAGTTATATAGTGGGAGAGTTGCTAAGGCAGGAAGTTATATAGTGGGAGAGTTGCTAAAGCAGGAAGTTATGTAGTGGGAGAGTTGCTAAAGCAGGAAGTTATATAGTGGGAGAGTTTCTAAGGCAGGAAGTTATGTAGTGGGAGAGTTGCTAAGGCAGGATGTTATATAGTGGGAGAGTTGCTAAGGCAGGAAGTTATATAGTGGGAGAGTTGCTAAAGCAGGAAGTTATATAGTGGGAGAGTTGCTAAGGCAGGATGTTATATAGTGGGAGAGTTGCTAAGGCAGGATGTTATATAGTGGGAGAGTTGCTAAAGCAGGAAGTTATATAGTGGGAGAGTTGCTAAGGCAGGAAGTTATATAGTGGGAGAGTTGCTAAGGCAGGAAGTTATATAGTGGGAGAGTTGCTAAGGCAGGAAGTTATATAGTGGGAGAATTGCTAAGGCAGGATGCTATATAGTGGGAGAGTTGCTAAGGCAGAAAGTTATATAGTGGGAGAGTTGCTAAGGCAGGATGTTATATAGTGGGAGAGTTGCTAAGGCAGGAAGTTATATAGTGGGAGAGTTGCTAAGGCAGGATGTTATATAGTGGGAGAGTTGCTAAGGCAGGAAGTTATATAGTGGGAGAGTTGCTAAGGCAGGATGTTATATAGTGGGAGAGTTGCTAAAGCGGGAAGTTATATAGTGGGAGAGTTGCTAATGTAGGAAGTTATATAGTGGGAGAGTTGCTAAGGCAGGAAGTTATATAGTGGGAGAGTTGCTAAAGCAGGAAGTTATATAGTGGGAGAGTTGCTAAGGCAGGAAGTTATATAGTGGGAGAGTTGCTAAAGCAGGAAGTTATATAGTGGGAGAGTTTCTAAGGCAGGAAGTTATATAGTGGGAGAGTTGCTAAAGCAGGAAGTTATGTAGTGGGAGAGTTGCTAAAGCAGGAAGTTATATAGTGGGAGAGTTTCTAAGGCAGGAAGTTATGTAGTGGGAGAGTTGCTAAGGCAGGATGTTATATAGTGGGAGAGTTGCTAAGGCAGGAAGTTATATAGTGGGAGAGTTGCTAAAGCAGGAAGTTATATAGTGGGAGAGTTGCTAAGGCAGGATGTTATATAGTGGGAGAGTTGCTAAGGCAGGAAGTTATATAGTGGGAGAGTTGCTAAGGCAGGATGTTATATAGTGGGAGAGTTGCTAAAGCAGGAAGTTATATAGTGGGAGAGTTGCTAATGTAGGAAGTTATATAGTGGGAGAGTTGCTAAGGCAGGAAGTTATATAGTGGGAGAGTTGCTAAAGCAGGAAGTTATATAGTGGGAGAGTTGCTAAGGCAGGAAGTTATATAGTGGGAGAGTTGCTAAAGCAGGAAGTTATATAGTGGGAGAGTTTCTAAGGCAGGAAGTTATATAGTGGGAGAGTTGCTAAAGCAGGAAGTTATGTAGTGGGAGAGTTGCTAAAGCAGGAAGTTATATAGTGGGAGAGTTTCTAAGGCAGGAAGTTATGTAGTGGGAGAGTTGCTAAGGCAGGAAGTTATATAGTGGGAGAGTTGCTAAGGCAGGATGTTATATAGTGGGAGAGTTGCTAAGGCAGGAAGTTATATAGTGGGAGAGTTGCTAAGGCAGGATGTTATATAGTGGGAGAGTTGCTAAGGCAGGATGTTATATAGTGGGAGAGTTGCTAAGGTAGGAAGTTATATAGTGGGAGAGTTGCTAAGGCAGGAAGTTATATAGTGGGAGAGTTGCTAAGGCAGGAAGTTATATAGTGGGAGAATTGCTAAGGCAGGATGTTATGTAGTGGGAGAGTTGCTAAGGCAGAAAGTTATATAGTGGGAGAGTTGCTAAGGCAGGATGTTATATAGTGGGAGAGTTGCTAAGGCAGGAAGTTATATAGTGGGAGAGTTGCTAAGGCAGGATGTTATATAGTGGGAGAGTTGCTAAGGCAGGAAGTTATATAGTGGGAGAGTTGCTAAGGCAGGATGTTATATAGTGGGAGAGTTGCTAAAGCAGGAAGTTATATAGTGGGAGAGTTGCTAATGTAGGAAGTTATATAGTGGGAGAGTTGCTAAGGCAGGAAGTTATATAGTGGGAGAGTTGCTAAAGCAGGAAGTTATATAGTGGGAGAGTTGCTAAGGCAGGAAGTTATATAGTGGGAGAGCTGTTAAGGCAGGAAGTTATATAGTGGGAGAGTTGCTAAAGCGGGAAGCTATATAGTGGGAGAGTTGCTAAGGCAGGAAGTTATATAGTGGGAGAGTTGCTAAGGCAGGAAGTTATATAGTGGGAGAGTTGCTAAGGCAGGAAGTTATATAGTGGGAGAGCTGTTAAGGCAGGAAGTTATATAGTGGGAGAGTTGCTAAAGCAGGAAGTTATATAGTGGAAGAGTTGCTAAGGCAGGATGTTATATAGTGGGAGAGTTGCTAAGGCAGGAAGTTATATAGTGGGAGAGTTGCTAAGGCAGGAAGTTATATAGTGGGAGAGTTGCTAAGGCAGGAAGTTATATAGTGGGAGAGTTGCTAAGGTAGGAAGTTATATAGTGGGAGAGTTGCTAAAGCAGGAAGTTATATAGTGGGAGAGTTGCTAAAGCAGGAAGTTATATAGTGGGAGAGTTGCTAAGGCAGTAAGTTATATAGTGGGAGAGTTGCTAAGGCAGGAAGTTATATAGTGGGAGAGTTGCTAAGGCAGGAAGTTATATAGTGGGAGAGTTGCTAAGGCAGGAAGTTATATAGTGGGAGAGTTGCTAAGGCAGGAAGTTATATAGTGGGAGAGTTGCTAAGGCAGGAAGTTATATAGTGGTATAGTTGCTAAGGAAGGATGTTTTATAGTGGGAGAGTTGCTAAGGTAGGATGTTATATATTGGGAGAGTTGCTGAGGCAGGATGTTATATAGGTTTGAGATGGGGGTAGCCCAAGGGTCAGTGGGCAGGGCTAGAGATGAAATTTGCATGTAAATATCAGATTGGAGAAATCTTGACAAACGAAGCTGTGGAGCTGTGCGGGTTGTTATTGTATTGTGTTACGTCTGTCACGGAAACGGTGTTTTATTTTTAAGTGATGAAACCCCACTTAAGAGTGTCTTACCTAACAGGGTACTTGAAAATAAACTAAACCTGTTTGTATCAGAATATTTTTGTTGCATACATTGATGGAATCCGAAAAGCTATATAGCTCTTTACCCCCACACAGATGTCCAGTATCGTTTGCCCACTGCCTGAGCAGCATCCGCTGTAAATGACCATCCCAGGTGGTGGTAGGGGGGCTGGGATCCCGGGAGATGGTTACCGGCTTAGGAGGCCGTCATCCAGGAGTGGATCGATCACGGTTGACTAGTGATAACAATTTGCATGCTTCGAGAAACGTCGGTATTTTAACTCGCCGCGTTCCACGCGCGCATCGCGTGAGCCTTTGATCATAGATGAGGTACGGCGCAAAAGAAGTTCAACATACACTCACCAACTCACCCACCCACTCACCCACCCACTCACCCACCCACTAACCCACTCACTCACTCACCCACTCACCCACCCACCCACCCACTCACTCACCCACCCACCCACTCACTCACCCACTCACCCACTCACTCACCCACCCACCCACTCACCCACTCACTCACCCACTCACCCACTCACTCACTCACCCACTCACTCACCCACCCACCCACTCACTCACCCACCCACCCACTCACTCATCCACTCACTCACTCACCCACCCACTCACCCACTCACTCACTCACCCACTCACTCACCCACTCGTTCACCCACTCACGGTCGACTAATGTACGGTGCGAATAAAGTCCAGCATACCCTCACTGACCAACTCACCCACCCACTCACCCACTCAGGTCGACTAATGTACGGTGCGAATAAAGTCCAGCATACACTCACAAACGATCGTGACAGCTCTCCGCTCGGTGCGTGGCGGAGTGGGGGAGGGATGGCAGTTGGATGTGGCCGCCTCCTGTCGTAATTTACCTAAACGCTGCCAGGGACTTAAACACAGACGAATCAACAATGCAATCCGATGTGACGAGACTAAAAGACAAAGACCCCCCCCCCCATAGCCTGAACAGACTGTTGGGGCAAGTGCTGTTAGCGAGCAGCACCTATGAAGGCCGGCACTGTGGCATACGAGAGGGTGGGTGGCCAACACCACGCAAAACCGCCTTTGTCTCCCTAGTGGCGATGTTTGCACACCGCACCAGGTACTCATTTCAGGCTGAGTCGACCTAGGGGAGGCCTACGACCGGTTAAGATAATCGTCACTGGTGTTGGCAGCGTAGCACTCACCGCTACACTACCGCTACCCAGACACACACAGACACACACAGACACGCACAGACACGCACAGACACACACAGACACGCACAGACACACACAGACACGCACAGACACACACAGACACGCACAGACACACACAGACACGCACAGACACACACAGACACGCACAGAGCAGCCTGCGTCAGTCCCCTCTGCAGCGGTGGGCGGGAGTGCAGATTGTGGTTAGAAGCGAACCTCTTTGGAATTGGCGTGGGAATTGTTAATTGGGGCACGTGCCGCTCGCTCTGTGGCTGTGAGGCTGAACGCGGAGCCAGCGCGACTTCTGAAATCTTCTCAATTCGTCAACCTGGGCGCACCCACAGGCAGGGAGAGCGACTCCCGCCCGGCACAACAACAACCACGACCACCAATCATCATTACCACGACTACACTCAGGGACGGCAGCTCGGGGGGTGGGTGGGGGATCCAGAGCTCCTCCTAATTGGTCTCAAGGAGCAAGAAGAACCGGCCAGCAGAAAGTACCACTACCAGCACCACCACAATTCCCCACTACCATTTACCAGCACTAGCACCACCACCACTACTACGACCAGCACTAACAGCAGTACCAACAAGAGCAGCACGGCCACGCAGCAGCCGCTGCTGCTGCTGCTGCTGTTGTTGCGCCGCTGCTGCTGTTGTTATTGTTGTTGTGCTGCTGTTGTTGTGCTGTTGTTGTGCTGCTGTTGTTGTGCTGCTGCTGCTCAGCCATGTGGTTGCGGTGGTGGCGGCACCGGAGCTGCAAACGCGGCGCCTTCAGCGCAGCCTCCAGCGACCGCCTCCACCTCCTCCAGCAGAAGAGGTGAGATCGGACCCTGTGGTATAGAAGAGGTGAGATCGGACCCTGTGGTGTAGAAGAGGTGAGATCGGACCCTGTGTTGTAGAAGAGGTGAGATCGGACCCTGTGGTGTAGAAGAGGTGAGATCGGACCCTGTGGTGTAGAAGAGGTGAGATCGGACCCTGTGTTGTAGAAGAGGTGAGATCGGACCCTGTGTTGTAGAAGAGGTGAGATCGGACCCTGTGGTGTAGAAGAGGTGAGATCGGACCCTGTGGTATAGAAGAGGTGAGATCGGACCCTGTGGTGTAGAAGAGGTGAGATCGGACCCTGTGGTATAGAAGAGGTGAGATCGGACCCTGTGGTATAGAAGAGGTGAGATCGGACCCTGTGTTGTAGAAGAGGTGAGATCGGACCCTGTGGTGTAGAAGAGGTGAGATCGGACCCTGTGGTGTAGAAGAGGTGAGATCGGACCCTGTGTTGTAGAAGAGGTGAGATCGGACCCTGTGTTGTAGAAGAGGTGAGATCGGACCCTGTGGTGTAGAAGAGGTGAGATCGGACCCTGTGGTATAGAAGAGGTGAGATCGGACCCTGTGGTATAGAAGAGGTGAGATCGGACCCTGTGTTGTAGAAGAGGTGAGATCGGACCCTGTGGTGTAGAAGAGGTGAGATCGGACCCTGTGGTGTAGAAGAGGTGAGATCGGACCCTGTGTTGTAGAAGAGGTGAGATCGGACCCTGTGTTGTAGAAGAGGTGAGATCGGACCCTGTGGTGTAGAAGAGGTGAGATCGGACCCTGTGGTATAGAAGAGGTGAGATCGGACCCTGTGGTGTAGAAGAGGTGAGATCGGACCCTGTGGTATAGAAGAGGTGAGATCGGACCCTGTGGTATAGAAGAGGTGAGATCGGACCCTGTGTTGTAGAAGAGGTGAGATCGGACCCTGTGGTGTAGAAGAGGTGAGATCGGACCCTGTGGTGTAGAAGAGGTGAGATCGGACCCTGTGTTGTAGAAGAGGTGAAATCGGACCCTGTGGGGCACGGCGCTCACTGCTCGCTGTGCTAAAGATGATTGATGAAGGCGATAGTGATGATGGTGGTGATGCTAGTGCGGGTCACTGATGATGATGATATTAGTGCGGGTTATTGATGAAGGTGATGGTGGTAGGTGGTGATTGTGTTAATGCGATTCACTGATGAAGGTGATGTGATGAGACTCGCGTCTTTGTACAGACGCGTCTATATCTGCAGTCGTAACGACCAGGAATTTACCACCCCCGATGACCAAATCATCCGGAATATGCCATATCTCGGGAGCTAAGCAGCATTAAGCCTGGACAGTGCTTCGATACGCGTAAAAAAAAAAACATCGGTTGTCCTGCTTATTCTGACCTGCAGTGGGCAGTGCTGATACCCCATTGTTGTACAGTACTGCGCAAATGTTTTGTTCAACGTGACTTTACCGAAAGACCCAAAGAATCTGAATGCTGTGCTATGCTGCAACGACTTCCTTCGACTCGCATTGACGAGCGTGGTTTACAGCGCGACCGCACAAACCACCGACACGGCGCGGGATCGAGGGCGTTCATCCAGCAGTGGATTGGCAAAGGGCGGGGGGAATTATGGCATTGAATGCATCGGGCAGTGCCGGTGAATGTGAAGGTGAATGTGTCTCACAGGGACGAGTGGGTGAATTCTGGGAAGCCCAGTGGGGGTTCCACCGGTGGTTAAGGGCAGTGGGACTTTCAATCACATCAGAACATCAACAGGGCTGATGGCTATACAATTTAAAATAAGCCACGGGTGTGCGGTCGTGGCCATGCAACCCAAACTATTGACCATATAGTAAACCCATAGACTCGTACAGATACATAGAGACCCATATAGACTCAGAATAAGTAGAGACTCGTAGAGGTACAGAGATACATAGAGAGCCATAGAGATACTTTAAAAAGCTAAGGTATTGTCATTGTGGCCATGCAACCCAAACTATTGGCCATGTAGTAAACCCATAGAAGCTCGTCGAAATACATAGAGACCCACACAGATATTTTAAATACAAAGCCACGGTATTGTGATTGTGGTCATGCAACGCAAACTCTGGGACCGTGCCGTTAAACATTTATCCACGTATATAAATTAAGCAGTCTGCGCTATATATTTCGGTTCGGTAATCTCTTTGTGCCTCATAGTTTAATGTTAATTTTCTACCCACGTTCACGAATCTGACCTGTCAAAGTAATGCCTATACATCGGCCTCCGGTGAGTCGGATACGTGATGTACTGGGTGCCACGGTGGCGAGATGTTAACTACCTCGGCTAGTATACAGGAGGTCGTGGGTTTTATCCCGACCGTAATGCCTGCTGCATATTTGGAGTTTGAATGTCTCTCTCGCGGTGTGGTTGCATGGCATTTTTCTCCGAGCCTTCCGGGTTTTCCCCTCCAAATTTAGAATCAACATCACGCATTCAAAGAATTTGGCTGCTATAATTTTCCACACGATAAGCCACTTCGTTGAGCTATCATTTGTGGCCAGCCCACTTCTGAAAAAGAACTATACAGCACAGTGGGCCTTTCCTGGTTAAATATAAAAAGTTTAGTTTATTTCGTTCTGCACTGTTTCCAGATCATCAGCAGGCTTAGGCCCAAGGCCTCACTCGTAACATGCCCCTGCTCGTGAAGACCCTCACGAATAATTTACCCAACTCCACCTGCATGAGCCGACTGTGGCGCAGCTGCATCGGGAGTTTGAATCCCATTGGAGGGACAAATCAGTTCATAGTCCCAGTGGGGTGGCTAAAATGAATACCACTTCATGACAAGGCAACAGCTGTTGACCAAAAGCAAAAATCCCGGCCTCTGCCGCAGCAATTGATAATTTACACCGCCGTAAATGAATCTGTTTAAGATAAAACTTTGCAAATTAATCTTTTAACTTTCCATTTTGTGGGATGTGTACACATTAGGGTGCTGATGCTAACAAAAATCACGTTAGTTATTTTCAAGGTCACGTCTCCAAAAAAAACCATTTATTAGTTTTATATCGCGTTGTTCATGCAAACTGCATCTCGCAATCGCTGAGGAACCACAGACGAGCTGGAAGGCTGCCAGGCGGTCAGCCGGCACCAACATTTGCTCTGCAGTTCTCTATTCATCCAGGTGTTTCCAAACAATTAGTGACTGTATATTATACATGTGGGAGAAAAGCCGGAGCACCTGGAAGAAACCCACGCATGCAAAGGAGCAACACTCTATCCCCGTACAGAAGAAACATATGACATCTGATTTAAAGCTTTCGTGACTGCAATGATTAGTCTTCTTTGGTTCTTTCGGTGAACCAAAGAAGACAGTCTCGTCCCTTCACCTGATGAAGGCCGCTTGTGTTGTGGCCGAAACGTCGTGAGAATATTATTGTGTTATTTGATTTTATCAATTTATTATTTTATTCTCATTCTACGTGACTTTACCGAAAGAACCAAAGAATATGACATCTGCCCACACTTTGCTGGACTACATTCCAATGGCAGACCAGGGTGTGGCCACGGTAAGGGAACATCGCTATATTGTAATTCGTGTGGTGATCCACCACAATGCTGGTTTACAGACCCGCATGCACAGCCACCACCCGCTACGTGGCCGTTCGTATCCCTGTTCAACGGAAGCCCCCGCGAGGTTAACAACGACCCCTCACTATTTACGAGGTGCTCAATGAAGGTGAAAATTGTGTCGCAGTCTCGTCGACCCCCCAGCTCCCGTCGTCGCCCCGTGTTGTCGCACATTCACCACGGTTACCGCGACCCTCCAGAAAGTCCAAGGAATGGTGGGACACGGTGCCTCTCCACATCCACCAGGAGGATCGCAATCACATCCCTCTCCACAACCACCAACACCACAGCCGCTTGAAGTCGCACGAGTCCATTGGGACCGACGCTCCCAACCATCAACAATGCCACTTCAACCCGAGTAATGATGAAACTTGGAAAGCCGAATGGAGGTCACAAGAAGAATCCACAAACTCCTCCTCCTATTCACATACATAACCATAGACTCACGTAGAGACCCTTATATCAGCATACGTAACCATACACTCACGTAGAGACACTAAGATTCACATACAGAATCAGACACATAGAGATCCTTATATTCACATACAGAACCTTAGACTCACATACACAACCATGAACACACAGATACCCTTCAGACCCACACAGAAGTCAATAGGAAGGAGGCATCACAGCAATACACTCCACCACTCCACCAATCCCGCCGCAATCGTCTGGCTCGACCACCCCAATGTAACATTGTAGCCGTTGCTCGACAGCAACATCACCAGCCATGGTGCGAAGACGCAGAAGGAATGCAAAAGAAAAGGAGACCCAGAAGCAGCCTGCAAACGTCAACGATTATAACGACATTCTCAGGCGTTTACTTTTACACCAAAAAGAAAACTCATTTAGGAATTGAAATGTGCCAATTCTGTTTTACAATGGGACGCGTTGTTTGGCGTTCGCATCCAGTTTGTGCCGACACTGTCAAGCGCGCAGCGAGAGTGCTACGGACAAACGCGACGTGGACCATCGACACCTGAAATCTCATCACTTATACACACCTGGACTCCCATCACCTCGACACCTGGACTCCCATCACTTGTTCACACCTGGACTCCCATCACTTGTCCACACCTGGACTCTCATCACTTATACACACCTGGACTCCCATCACCTCGACACCTGGACTCCCATCACTTGTCCACACCTGGACTCCCATCACTTGTCCACACCTGGACTCCCATCACTTCTCCACACCTGGACTCTCATCACTTATCCACACCTGGACTCCCATCACCTCGACACTTGGACTCCCATCACTTGCCACACCTGGACTCCCATCACCTCGACATGTGGACTCTCACTTCTCGTCTATCCTATGGTAGCAGCAATAGGTTCAGAAGTGAGATTCCAATGTCCGAAGCCTGCCGCTAACCACGACGAGAGGGCATCAAGAGACAGAGAGCGTTATTTCGTGTCGTTTTGCTGATCTTCGTCCTCTGTTGAAGGAGCGTAGACCACAGTGGGTTAACACTTTCCTGTTTCGAAGACATACACGTACGTCATCGGTTCTTCTTTCAATTCCGTTCAAGTGAAGTATACACGTATATACCTGTACGTCAGCGTACGTGTACGTCATCAGAATGTAACCGGAAATGAAAATGAAATAAATAACTATTGGTACCGAGGCTCCCACAAGGCCATGCAGGAGGCCGTGTGGCACAGTTTTGGAGTCAGCTATCATGGAATGCGGCAGTCGTGTCGTTATGCTTCTGCGGTCAGCACAAGTCTTTAAAAGCAACATCGTTAGTAGGCCTCTCTAAATAAAATTAACGCTGAGCCACTTGCGCGTTCCGAGATTTTAACGGTGAATGGAGCACCACCCTGCAACTTGCAGACGTCTCGGAACGGGTTAATGAGTTGCTGCTATGCTGAGGATCGAGATCAAGATCGCACAACCGCACGCGTGAAGGGGCTCGGATGAGTGAGCACTCGGAGAACACGGCCCATTCCACTGCCGCACACACCGTGCCGGGTGTGGTCGGTTGCTCAGCCATGACGGACTGGTATGCGATGTCGTGGGAAAGGCACGTGACTGATGGCACCAGACCACGACCTACTGGAGACATCGGGTTTTTACCAGTTTGTGTCGGAGACATGGCACGGACTAAGTACCAAGTACCCGTGCCAAATCACAGGAAGAGTATTTCAGACTTCCAAGTCGGCGCCCTACGAACGATTGTTTAAGGGCGCTTTATACATTTCAATTATTATGTATGTATGTTGGACTACGTTTGCACCGTACGTAGCCAACCGTGCTAATCAGAGGTGCGGGGGAAGGACAGCAATCAGTTCAACAATGTGGCCGTTTCAGGTATTTCTGTAAATCGTCAAAATAAATAATTTGCGCCAGGGCATGAAATTGAACCCTGCGAGTTTGCATGAGACATCACATCATCGCAGCCCACCTGTACCCGAGTCAGTCGGACCGAGGATGGCGCTGATTTTGTCTGAATGGAAATATTAATCGTTAGCCGTCCTGCGCATGCACACTTCGGGGAGCACTTACACGGTTTGTTCATTCGGTCTATTAACACACGCCACATACTGGCCAGGCTGGGTGGGGGTGGTTGGTGATACGGCCGGAGCGATTGTTTCAGAATTTAGGATTGGGAGTCACCAAGATTAATTTTCCAAGCCCAGTCTTGCTGCCACCTTGCTGCTGCTGCTGAGCCATGGGGGAGACGTTTAAACAAGCTCGACAGGCTCACGGTCCAAGTGGACACCACCCTGCATGGTGACGTAAGCTCGTGCATTCCGAGCAAGCTGGAGTAACAAAGACAAAGATCCCCCACCCCCCTATAGCCTTAACAGACTTTTGGGGGCAAGTGCCGTTAGCGAGCATTTATGAAGACCGGCACGGTGCACCAGGGGGTGGGTCGGCCAGCACCACACCCGGGCGCCTCTGTCTCCCGAGGTTTACGCAACGCACCAGGTACTCATTTAAGGCTGAGTCGACCTCGGAGAGGCCCCAGGACCAGTTAAGATAATTGTCACTGGTGTTGGTGGCCATGAGCGGGAATCAAACTCGGGTCACAGGGTTCATAGCGCAGAGCACTAACCCCTGCACCACTGCTGGACTAATACCCATGGTACCACCCTGACTTGTTCCCACATAATACAACGGAATGTGGAGCCTGATTCCACAGTTGGATGCAAACTTATATAGTACACACAGTGCAACGTGGTCGCCAGGCACCATTGTGAAGACTATGAAAGCGAATAAGCAAGACATTTCACCTGCTGGTCATGATAACGTTGTTTTGGGTTCCGTCGTGTTCATGTAAATGTGTCGTACACCCACTTCCACCCGACACAGCCAATTAGAAAGGTTGTCACGTGAACAGAAAGTGCTCATTTGAACATGCTAACAGAACGTCGGCTGGAGGTAAGCGCACGACAGATATTACATACACGATCTAACTCAAAAAACGTCGTAATTAATTCACCTCCTTAACATATTCGTCCCAGGTAAAAAAAAAACATTCTTTACATTTCCTGTCAGCCACTGGCTGCTGATGAGACGCTTTTCTGTCGAAGCCTGGTCCAGAGTTCGCCTCACGTTTGGCCAGTACCGCTGACGGCAGGCCTCGTGGCACGATCTGATCATCTCTTTTGCACGCTCGATGGATCCACTGCTGCTCGCAGAGCGCAGTGAGCGACCGGCGGCTTGCAACTTAATCGGTCACGTGGGTGCGAAGCGATTTCCTTGAGCGGTTGTTGGCATGCGGGGGAGGCGTGCGTTGCTTCGTTGGAGATTGTCGCGCGCAGAAAGCTTACGTAGACAGAAACGACTATGAATAGCTCCGCGAGGAGTAAAGTTAAACAGCTCGCGAGATTCGTATGAATGTGCCGCGCGTAGCCAACCATGCTAATCGTGGAGGTGCGGCGGGGGGACAGCAAGTTACCCGTTTGAGGCAGCGCGCGTGAACAACACGCGGCACCGTGCGTTGCGATGTCTGTGCCTTAATTGTGTTGTGGTTGTTCTCACCGTTGACCTTTTTAGGCGACTATAAATAAAGGGCGCCCCCCCCCCCGTCAGAGGTCACCGTGGAGTTTCCGGAGGGGTCATTGTGGAGGCGTCTTCTCCCAGTCCCCCCCACCCCCCGTGACGTCCGTCCAAAACGATCGGCGCTTCCGTGCCCGAAAGAGCATCCCATTGCTGCTCGCATTGGAAATTCCACGTTCCCATGACGGGGGCGGTGAGAAAGGTGGGGGCGAGTCTCTCCACGTGACAAGAAGGCATTCTTAAAAAATTAAAATGAAAACCAGAGGTGGAGCCGAGTGACTTTCACTGGGCAGGCGTGGGTCTGAATGACCACGCTGACCTCTGCTTGTCCCGCTCCTCCGGCAGGCAAGGCCGCGTTGGTTGGGCCATGTAGCCCGCATGCCCAGTCACTGCATACCTAAACAGCTTTTGTTCAGCCGGATCGAGGGGGCTAAACGGGCGCGGTACGGGCTAGAGAAGAGATTGAGAGATGTGGTTCAGGAGGATGTGGAGCTGAGTGGACTTGCCGATGACTGGTACCAGCGGTGTCAAAATCGACCTCTGTGGAGGAGGCTCGTGAAGGACGCTACTGGGAAGTTGGAGGCAGTCGCCCTCCAACAACAGCGGAGGGTGGAGGAGCGACACTCACAACAACGAGCGGAGCGCCGGGTGGCTAAAGCACAGCAAGTTGGCACAGTAGGGGGCACAGGTGGTGCATCAGCCAGTCGTCTCAGTCGACCTGTGGCATCTGGGTCTGCCCCGTGACCTCCTGCCAGTGGGAATTCGACACTTCACGTGGCCTCAAGGTGCACATAGCCTGGCACAGCCTTCGTGGTGACGTCACCGCCACTTAGTGGCGAATGGCGGTTGTTGTGTGTGTAGATGTGTGTGTGTAGAAGCTGCCTGGCCCGCGCTCCATACATAGCTCCAGATTTTCTCAGCCGCAGTTAAATGTGGACTCCTGCAATAGAACGTCTGTGCTATCTTGAGCCATTCAGGTTGGCCTACCCACAATCCACCCTAGCCTTAACCAGAAAGGATTGTGGGAGGAGCTCGTTTGTCCTTGAAAGATCTGGACACGGTCCCATCGGTGAGCTCCCCTGGCAGGTGAGGCTGCCTTGGCTGGGACATGTAGCCCGCATACCCAGCAACCGCATACCCGAGTCGCTGTTATTTTGCCAGATAGGGGGTGGGCGGACTAAATTGGCATGGCACGGGCTGGAGAGGAGATGAGCTGATGTGGTCCAGGAGGATGTGGAGCTAAGTGGACTTGCCAATGACAGATACCAGCGGTTGTCCAGATGGGCCTGTATGGAGGAGGAGGCTTGTGAAGGACGCTAATGGACAGTTGGAGGCAGTTGCAACTCCAACAACAGCGAGGTCAGAGGAGCGACGCTCACAATAACGAGCGGAGCGCCGATAGCGGCTAAAACACAGCAAGTTTGCACAGTGGGGAATACAGGTGCTGCATCTGCCAATCATCTCAGTCTACCCACAGCAACTGAGTCTGTCCCGTGACCACCTGCCAGCGAGCCTTTGACACTTCACACGATGGCCACAAAGTGCACCTAGCCTGGCACTGCACTGTGGTGACGTCACCGCCAATTTGTGGCAAAGGGCGGCCGTTGTTGTTGTTGTTGTTTGTTGGTATGTTTACGCAGACTCGTCAGGAGATTAGACCCTCGGGTGGCCTGGCCCGTGGGGATCTTTCAACTACCCAATTATTTTTGTTTCTGAATTTAATTGTTTTGTTGTCGGAACCTTCTGGAGTTTATTTTGTGCACAGTGCCGATGCTGTTGGGGTGCTGGTGTGGTGGCTGGACGGAGGTGGTGTCTGGTGACCGGTCCGTGGTGTGGTGGCCGGTCCGTCCTGTGGGTCATAGCTACTGTACGTTACTGTGCGTTGTGGTGCAGTGCACGTGACAAGGATCCATCCCTGTGGGTTTGCGCAGGATTAAGGAGATTCCGCTGTTTCTCGCGGCCATGGAGAACGACAGAGAGTCCATCCTGAAGCTCCTCAACAACCCGGACACCGACCCCTACGTCACCGGTACCCTGCGCCCGCTCGCTCGCCGTGCATGCATTGTGTGTGCATTGTGTGTACATTGTGTATACATTGGGGAAAGTTGTTAATGTTGCACTGTGTAAGTGGTGGCTGCTATTGTGTGTGCGCATTTATTTTGTGGGGAGCGGTGGCGCAGTGGTTAGCGCGTCTCCGCTACGAACCCGGCGGAGACCCGAGTTCGATTCCCGCTCATGGCAAGCACCAGTGACCATTATCTGAACCAGTGACGGGCCTCCCCTAGGTCGACTGAGCCTCAAATGTGTGCCTGGTGTGATGAATAAACATTGCCACTGTAAGGCGTGGTGCTGACCACCCACCACCTCGTGTGCTGTACCGGCCTTCATCGGTGCTGTTACTCGCTAGCAGCACTTGCCCCAACAGTCTGTTAAGGCTACACGGGAGATCTTTGTCTTCGGTGTAGGGGCATTGGGTGAGATGGCACTGCACATCGCCGTGCTGTACAACAGCAACGACGCTGCGCTGGCATTGGCTGACGCCACCCCTCAGCTAATCAACCTTCCCGTCTACTCCCACGTCTACAAAGGTATCATCACCATCGTCGCTATCATCACCACCATCATCATCACTATCGTTGTCGTCATCATTGTCACCATCGTCATCACCATCGTTATCACCATCATCATCATCACCATCGCCATCATCACCATCGTCATCAACCTCATCGTCGTCACCATCTTCATCACCATGGTCACCATCGCCACCATCATAATCACCATTGTCATCTCCCTCTCTCCCTCCCTCCGTGGTTCCGTCGCAGTCCTGGCGGTGTCCTCGCGACGCAGCCTTCACACGGCCGGCCGGCAACTCCCCCAACTCCCCTTCCCTGCCTCTGTTGTGCCGCATCGCTGATCTCATTCACGTGGCGAGTCCACAAAAACTCTGTCTTTTGCTCTCTCTCTCTCTCTGTCGGACCGTATTTGAAACACAACTGGCAAAATGTAAAGTGAAATGACAGTTTCGTTTAAATAGTTTATCGAGTAATTAACTCGAATTGGCCGTGTGAATAAATTGCCGTGACTAAGTAAGCTCCCCGCCACCCGAGGTGATATCAACTAAAGTAGTTGGGCTCGTTTCAAGGCCTACCGCTATGCTTGTCATGGGATGACCGTTCGTGTCTCCCCATAGCTCCTACATTCCTACAAGATCGAACTGCACATGCTCAGAGTTTCCAAGAAACAGCCATTTATGTTTCGATTTAAAGCTTTCGTGACTGCAAGGATTCATCTTCTTTGGTTCTTTCGGTAAAGTCACGTAGAATGAGAATAAAATAATAAATTGTCCTCCAGACAGTCTCGTCCATTCAACTGATGAAGGCCGCTTGTGTTGTGGCCAAAACGTCGTGAGAATTTTATTGTGTTATTTTATTTTATCAATTCATTATTTTATTCTCATTCTACGTGACTTTACCGAAAGAACCAAAGAAGATGAGCCATTTATGTCTTCACATTTATGTATCATCATGATTTTTTTCTCATGGGAGCATTAGGTTGACAACACGACTGCGCATGCTTATCGCTGGAGAAACAAATTCGACCGGAAATTGAAAATGTGAAGTACTGTGGGTGAGTAAGATGAGATGACGCTGATGCCGTGGTGACCCCGTAGTGACATCATGGTGACCTCATGGTGACCCCGTGGCAACCACCGTGTTGACCCCATTGTGACCCCTGTAGTGACCACGTGGTGACCCGTGGTCGACTCCCGTGGTGATTAGTTGTTCCCTCGGTGATCCCGTGGTGACCCCTATGGTGACCCCTGTGGCGACCCACGTGGTGACCTCGTGGTGTCCCCGTTGTCGACCCCGTGGTGACCCCGTGGTAACCCCCGTGGTGACCCCCGTGCGGGCATGCAGGTCAGACGGCGCTGCACATGGCCGTCCTGCAGCAGAACGTGGCGCTGGTGCGGGCGCTGGTGGTGCGCGGCGCCGACGCCATCTTGCCCCGCGCCACCGGCACCTTCTCCTCGCTCAAGGGCGGCGGTTGCTGTGGCAGTGGTGCACCTGGCCGCTACTACGGTGAGAGCGGTGGCCACGCAGCCACATGTACGGCCACCACCGCCACCATCAACAGCAACATTCATAACACTTTAACACATAGGAGGCTTTCGCGACCAATGTCATCCATAATAGAGGTTTTTTGGGTTAGATCCTGTAAATATAAATGTGTCGTTAAACCTGCCACCACCTGACACAGCCAAACCTTGATAATTGGCTGTGTCGAGTGGTGGCGGGTTTAACGACACATTTATATGTACGCGATCTAACCTAAAAAAGCGATATTATGGATTTATATTACTGCCAGTACCACCACCACCACTATCAACAACACCACTGTCATCATTACTAACAACAACACTCACAGCATTTCTTAGTCCTCTCTGTAAATTAACCCACAGCGTATGTGTCATCTCTGTAAATGAAATCACAGAACTTGTCTTCTGTAAGTAAACCCACAGTGCATGTGTCCTCTCTGTAAGTGAACCCACAGCGCCCGTTAGTCCTCTCTGTAAGTAAACCCACAGCACCTGTGAGTCCTCTCTGTAAGTGAACCCACAGCGCCCGTTAATCCTCTCTGTAAGTGAACCCACAGCACCTGTGAGTCCTCTCTGTAAGTAAACCCACAGCACCTGTTAGTCCTCTCTGTAAGTGAACCCACAGCGCCCGTTAATCCTCTCTGTAAGTGAACCCACAGCACCTGTGAGTCCTCTCTGTAAGTAAACCCACAGCACCTGTTAGTCCTCTCTGTAAGTGAACCCACAGCGCCCGTTAATCCTCTCTGTTAGTGAACCCACATCACCTGTTAGTCCTCTCTCTAAGTGAATCCACAGCACCTGTGAGTCATCTCTCTAAGTGAACCCACAGCACCTATTAGTCCTCTCTGTAAGTGAACCCACAGCACCTGTGAGTCCTCTCTGTAAGTGAACACACAGCACCTATTAGTCCTCTCTGTTAGTGAATCCACAGTGCCCGTTAGTCCTCTCTGTAAGTGAATCCACAGGGCCTGTGTCCTCTCTGTAAGTGAACCCACAGCACCTGTTAGTCCTCTCTGTAAGTGAACCCACAGTGCATGTGTCCTCTCTGTTAGTGAATCCACAGTGCCCGTTAGTCCTCTCTGTAAGTGAATCCACAGTGCCCGTTAGTCCTCTCTGTAAGTAAACCCACAGCACCTGTTAGTCCTCTCTGTTAGTGAATCCACAGTGCCCGTTAGTCCTCTCTGTAAGTGAACCCACAGCACCTGTGAGTCCTCTCTGTAAGTGAATCCACAGCACCTGTGAGTCATCTCTGTAAGTGAACCCACAGTGCATGTGTCCTCTCTGTTAGTGAATCCACAGTGCCCGTTAGTCCTCTCTGTAAGTGAATCCACAGCACCTGTGTCCTCTCTGTAAGTGAATCCACAGCACCTGTTAGTCCTCTCTGTAAGTGAACCCACAGCACCTGTGAGTCCTCTCTGTAAGTGAATCCACAGCACCTGTGAGTCCTCTCTGTAAGTGAACCCACAGCACCTATTAGTCCTCTCTGTAAGTGAATCCACAGTGCCCGTTAGTCCTCTCTGTAAGTGAATCTACAGCGCCTGTGTCCTCTCTGTAAGTGAACCCACAGCACCTGTGTCCTCTCTGTAAGTGAACTCACAGCACCTGTGTCCTCTCTGTAAGTGAACCCACAGCACCTGTGTCCTCTCTGTAAGTGAACCCACAGCACCTGTGAGTCATCTCTGTAAGTGAACCCACAGCACTTGTGTCTGTCCCGTGAACGCCTACTAGCAGCGAGAGGCTTCCACATTTCACGTGGCCTTAGAGTGCACAATGCCTGGCACAAGCACTGTGGTGACGTCACCGCCACTTGGTGCCGAATTTCAGCTCTGATGTGTGCATGTGTATTCGTCTTTGTGTTTGTAGGGGCAGCGGTTAGCTCTCTGTGTTACAAACTCGGCGACCCGAGTTTGATTCCCGCTCACCACCACCAACAACGGTGATGATTATCTGAACTTGTCCTGGGCCTCCCCTAGGTCGACTCGGCCTCAAATGAGTATCTGGTGCGGTGTGTAAACATCGCCACTAGGGAGGACAAAGGCGGTCGGGCGTGATGCTGGCCACTGACCCCCTCGTGTGCCGTGCCGTTCCTTCATAGGTGCTCGATAACAGCGCTTGCCCCAAATTTCTGTTTGGACTATGCAGGGGACCTTTGTGTGTGTCTGCATGTGCGTCCGTTTGCATGGGCGCGTGCGAGTAGCGGATTGCCCTGGTGCAGTGCTGTCCATCCACCACCTCGGCCTTCGTGGGCACCGCTCGCTAACGGCACTTGCCCCGACAGTCTGTTAAGGCCATCCCCGGGGGGTTGTGACAGTGGGGGTGTCTTTGTCTTTGCAGGGGAGCACGTGCTGACGTTTGCCGCGTGCACGGGGAACGAGGACATCATGCGCATCCTCCTGGAGAACCACGTGCCCGTGCACGCCCAGGACTCCCTCGGTCAGTCGATTCCCGGGTCTGCAGCACTCCGGGTGCCGGGTGGAGTGGCTCGGAGGGGAGGGGTGGCGCGGGGGGCGTGTGTGCCTGCGGCACCGGGGGTAGTGGGGGGGAGAGTGGGCGACGATGGGTGGCTCGGGGAGGCCGGCGGCTCGTGGAGACGAGGAGGGTTTGACGAGAGCGATGTCCGTGCTGCGGTATTGTATGCACGTTGAACTTCTTTCGCACCGCACGTAGCCAACCGTGCCAATCGGAGGTGCTGCGGTATTGAGCCAGGACCTTGGCTCCTCCTGGACCCGCGCACGAGGGTCTCTCTCTCTCTCTGTGTGTGTGTGCAGCTGCTTGAGGGCCGACGTCGGCTGCACAAACACGCAGCCTCCATTCACGATGCACTGTGCAGCGACAGCCAGACACGCACGCTAACCCATCGGCCTTTCCTGAGCAAGAGCATTGTGGGGGTCCTCTCGTCTTGGCTTGCCAACAAAATACATTTGAGCAACGCACGTGGCAGCAACAGCAGCAGCAGCGCGAGTGATGCGCCGACGAAACGAGCGCACGCGTGGGCAGGAGATGCACTTACGTGTGTTTGTTGAACTTCTTTCGCACCGTACCGAGGTACGGTGGGAAGGACGACAAGCCAAACACGAAAAGCAGGGAAATGGATCCCCTCAATGCCTGGAGAGGGAGCCACGCGGCCGAGCCTCACAGAGCGGGGCAGCGGCAGCTCCGGCTACCATCGGAGACGATCCAAACTCCCCCGGGGCAGCCTCTGGTTTTTGACCGAGGGCCGCAGCAGCAGCGGCACCACCGCTGCTGCTGCTGCGGTTTATTCGTGGCGTTGCGTGGGGTTCGCGGTGCAGCTCCACCGAGCCGCTCTGATGAAACACTGCGTGCGCATGCAGTGTAAACTGTGAGTGGTACGTACCGTCCGCTTCATGACAGACGTTATAGACCCCCCCCCCCGCCAAGCGCAGCGCCTCCGTGGTAACCTCGCACCGGGAGGGCGACAGCCGCGCGATTGCCAAATGTGCGGCCGCTGTTAAATATTTACCATTTGAAAAAGTGTGAGGGACGGTCACACGCCGTGCGCATTACAACGGCGCATCCCGGCATGACGTCGTCGTGCTGCATGACGTCATTGCTTCCGAATTCTCGGACGCGAGTCTGCCGTCGGGTTTTTTTTTCCTTCCCCGAACCTGTGAACATGGGAAGCCGTCGATCAATTCGCGTTGTCGCCGCCACGCAGGGAACACGGTGCTGCACGTGCTGGTGCTGCAGCCCAACAAGAACCAGGCGTGCGCCATGCACCAGCTGCTGCTGTCGTGCGACCGCTCCGGGGCGGCCGCCGCACTGGAGGCCGTGCAGAACCACGACGGCCTCACGCCCATCAAGATGGCCGCTGCTAACGGCAACACTGTGGTGGGCGAGCTTGCATGGTCACTCGTTGGACCGCTCATTCCGTCACCCTTTCACTCGGTCGCTCAACCGCTCACTCATTCAGTTGCTCGCTCACTCGATTGCTTATTCGGTCACTCTTTCACTCGATCGCTCACTCAATCGCTCAACCGCTCGCTCAAATGCTCAACCGCTCGCTCATTGGCTCACTCATTAATTTGATCACTCAATCGCTCACTCATTCACTAAATCGGTCACTCAAGCAAACACTCGCTCAATCATTAACCCGATTGTTCATTCGCTCACTCGCTCAATTGACCACTCATTCGCCCGATCACTCACTCGCTTGCTCAATTGTAAATCCACTCGCGAACTCGCACACGCGTCATGGCCGCCACCACCATGTGGCTCTACCAGGAGCCTGCACTGGCCGAGCACCGGCTGGTGCTGGCCGTGGCCTAGCCTTGGAGAGCGCAGGCAGTGCAGCTGCACTGAGGCCTACGGGCCGGAGGGGCCCCAGGCACCGAGCTTCAGAGATGGGCACGATCGGAGGAGGGCGGTGCCCACTGGATTCCTTGCGCCAGCGCCCGTGCCAACTAGGGCCTGTGCCAACCATGCCACCAAACGACAGGGGAGTGGACAGTGAGCGAAGGGCGCCGCGGTGGTGAGATGTTAACTATCTCGCCTGGTATGCAGAATATTACGGGGTCAATTAATTGCCCCAACACTGGCAGTCGACTCGCGCCCGATTGTAGGCCACGATGCCGAGTCGTCTCGTGCCGCCACACGGGGACAGCTGCCGCTGGGGGTGCCCTCTCGAATGTGCTGAGACGAGATGGAGGGTGCCCGTGAGACTCCGCCACCCTGGCGTGGTACAGGAAGGTGGCCTCGATCGAGAGCACCTCGTGCTGATGGCTGTTGCTATTATTGTTGTTATTGCTCTTGTTATTGCTGTTGTTGTTGACTCCGACTGCGACCCTCTGCAGATGTTCCAGAACTTGGTGACGCGGCGCCGTGCCGTGCAGTGGGTGTTCGGCTCGGTGACGTCCAGCATCTATGACCTCTCCGGCATCGACTCGTGGGACGACGAGCAGTCGGTCATCGAGCTCATCGCCTCCAGCCGTCGGCGCGAGGTCAGCGCTTGCCCACTCGCTCGTTTGCTCGTCCGCCCGCTCGTCCGCTCGCTCGTTTGTTCGCCTGCTTGCCAGCTCGCTCGTTTGCTCGCCCTCTCGTCCGCCCTCTCGTCCATTTGCTCGCTCACCTGCTCGTCCGCTTACCCACTCACTCTCTCGCCTGCTCGCTTGTTTGTTTACTTGCGTTGCGGGAGTTTGGATCCCATAGGAAGAAAGACTGGAAAAGTATCATCGTCACCTCAAATTGATTCGTACTTTAGTCTGCGTTAACCTCTTGATGTGTGTGCATCATCACCGATTAATTGTCCGATCAGCACATTTGGCTACATGCAGAGCGAAATAAGTCCAACATACGTACATCCTCGTCATTAACATCATCATCTTCTCCTCACGAGTGGTGGTACAAGGGCATCCCCCCACGCGTGACAAAGCCACCTATTGAATAGTTTCATCACGTAATTAGGAGAGTCTGAATGTGTATTCCATACATTCAGGTTATCTCATCTGCCAGTTTGCCTACAGTCTGTCAATTGTAAATCCACACGTGATGATTAACCAGTGTTAACAATTAGACCATCTGGACACTGCAGGTAACAAGGTTCATTGGTAAGAGGATTGGTGGATAGCCAGGTTGGTGGTGGCTCTGCAAGTGGCCTCTAATCAAACACTGTGGGTGGCATGGGTCAGTGGATTGTACTCACAGATGTTGTGAAATTTCCTTCCCGTGGACGTCAAGGAGGAACCACACTCTTATCATCTGTCCTCTCTGTATGGGCTAGAGTGTTGCCCCCTCGCACGTGTGGGTTTTCTCTGGGTGCTCCAGTTTCCTGCTAAATTGTATAAGCACCCATTCTCAGTGGTTGACAACATCTTCATATACAGAGAGAACTGCAGAGCTTGGGCAATCGTTGGCACTGCCTGGCTGCATTCGATCTTGTCCGTGTTGGCCAGCGATTTCTAGATGCAGTTTTTCACGTCGTGGTATAAAAAGTGAACACTTTTATTATCTTTACTGTAAAACCGTAGCTGTACCGCACTGCGCGGTACAGCTACGAGTTTAACAGGACACAGTTGAGAGTAACTTTTATGGAAAAGTGCAGACCATTATCATGTCCTCTCTGCATGTAATAGAGCGTTGCCCCTTCGCACGTGTGGGTTTTCCCCGGCTGCTCCAGTTTCCTCCCGCAGGCAAGCACACACTCATTGGCCGATAACACCTTCACATGTAGAGGAGCCGCATAGCTTGGGCAATCGTTGGCACTGGCTCATCGCCGCGTGACTGATGGCCTCTGCCGCTCGTCTCTGGTTCCTCCTCCTGGCGCCTCCGAGCCGCCCCCGAGCCGCCCCCCATCTCTCCCTCTCTCTCTGCGAAAGCGAGGAGCGAATGCTGTGTGCCGCGCGAGTTAAAAGTTGTTATTAGTTGTTGGGCGCCACGGGTGGCTAGGAGATGTTAACTACCTCGCCTGGTATGCAGGAGGTCGTGGGATCGATCCCGATCCTAACGCCTGCTGTGTATTTGGAGTTTGCGGTATCTCTCTCTCTCCCCGTGTTTGTGTGGATTTTTATCCGGGTCCTTTGGTCTTTCCTTCCTGCTATAAATTTGCACGTAATGAGCCACTTCATCGAGCTATCGTTTGTGATGGCCAGGTCGCTTCTGAAAAAGAGCGATATAGCTCAGTGGTAAAATAAAAAATAGGTAAAATAGTTTTAAAGTTTTTTGTTATGAATATGGCTGGCAGAGCACAGAAGCCTCTGCAGTGGAGGGGAGGGGTGCCACCTGCTGAACGCCACTGCACGTGCACACACACACGCGCATACACACGTGTGTGCGCGTGTGTGTGCCTTATGGGGAGCGGTGGGCCAGCAATTAGCACTCTGTGCTACGAACCCAGCGGCCCAAGTTTGGGGAGCGGTAGTGTAGCGTTTAGTGCGCTGCGCTATGAACCTGGCGACCGGGGTTCGATTCCCGCTCACGGCCAACACCAGTGACGATTAACTGAACCGGTCCTGGGCCTCCCCTAGGTCGACTTAACTTCAAATGAGTACCTGGTGCAGTGTGTAAACATCGCCACTGGGGAGACAAAGGCGGCCGGACGAGGTGCTGGCCACCCACCCCTCGTATACCGCGCAGGCCTTCATAGGCGCTCGCTAACAGCACTTGACCCCAACAGTCTGTTAAGGCTACATGAGCGATCTTTGTCTTTGCTCCGCGCAGGCGCGTCGCATCCTGGACATCACGCCGGTCAAGGAGCTCGTGAGCCTCAAGTGGTCGCTGTACGGGCGCCGTTACTTCTGGCTCTGGGCCCTCATCTACATGTGCTACATCGTCATCTTCACGCTCTGCTGCATCTACCGGCCGCTCGAGCTCTACGCCGACTACAACGCCTCTTCGGCCACACTGCAGCCGCCCAGCCTGGGAGACTTCGTCATGGTGCAGCGGCCCCTTGCGGTACGACTTGGCTCGGGCTCCGGCTCAGGCTCGGGCGGTACGACCTGGCTCGGGCTGAGGGTCAGGTCGTAGGAACTGGCTGAGGCTCGAGTTCTCACAGCGGCTCTTCAGCGATCGTCTCGCTTGCTCACACCACGAGGTGGCCGGGCGGCCGCGACAATGGTGGCCATGTTGGAACGCCGAGTCAGCACACGTGATGCGTTTCCCACGACTGGCGGCAACCGGGATGTGCCCGAACAGGAATGGCCCAGGTCCAGCCAACAGGGACGGCAGCTGGTCCCGGGTTCTTGTGCCCATGCTGCCCTGCCTGCCTGCCCCCCTCCCCTCCAGTCATATTTGAACATAAAGACGGCTCTTCGTTCGAATATAATAATAGGTTCATGATTTTCTGCTGCGTGTGTACGAAACGCAAACGCAGCAGGAAAGTTGAACTGAGCGACGTCGCAGCGCTCGCCGCGCTCCTCCCGCTCCCCCCGCTCGCCGCGCTCGCCCCGCTAACAACGCTCCAAGAGCCCCTCGGCACTGCGGCCGGGGGGGACGTCGTAAGCCGCACATCGAGGTCATTAGCGGTCGGCAGGAGGAAGGAAGCGACGACGTTGCTGTGTGGTACGCGTAAGGTCAGCATGGACGCATGGCGGGCGGGTGGGGGGGGGGTCTCACGAGCGTGCGCCGTTGATCGCCGTGCGTGTGGGGGTGCGTGTGGGGTGCGTGTCTTGACAGGCGTGCTACGACAGCTACGACGACTTCCTGCGCCTATCCGGGGAGATCGTGGTCGTGGTGGGGGCCGTCATGATGCTCGTCTTCGAGGTGAGGCACCGCCTCTTGAACGATAGGTGCGCGTGGCACGTGCGGAGGGTGGATCGCCGTTCGGAGCAATGAGTTGGACTCTGGTTGTGGGGCGCGGTTCTGCCGTACGTGCCCTTTGAGCGATCCGTTTGACTCATTTTTTACGTAGGGCCCGGCTCAGCGGCCCTCTTCAGCAAGCCCGTCGATCGTCGTCTGAGTTCACGTCGGCCGTCACAGTTGGCTTGCCATCGGAAATATCTGAGATGCTTTCACCACTTAGGTTCGTGGCTTCATTTCTCCAGTCCACTGCTCAGGAACTTTTCTCTTAACGCCGGCGATGAATGAATGTGCTGAGCGTGCTGTCTCCTTGCTTGCGTTCTGCTATTGTACTCAGGCAATTCCCAACCTAAATAACTTGTCTATATTTCCCTCCCACCCCAGCCAGCCTCCCTCCCACCGGGGTTCAACTTTTCCCAAAACGTTGCATTTTCTGAACGTCCTATGCATTTAAAGCAAGTCTAGAGGTCTCGTGTAGAGGTCCCGTGTATAACAGAAATGAGAATAGCGATGTACGTGGTAACCCTCCCGCGCGTGGCAATTCGTGTTTCTAGTCCCCGCGTCGGCGCAGACTGATGGCGCCATTCCCCGTGACGTCTCGATGTCGTCCGATGCGCAGGTCCGGGACATGATCCGGACCGGAGTGAAGCGCTATTTTGGAAGCACGGTCACCGGAGGCCCCTTCCACATCATCATGTGAGGAGCCACACCCAGTTGATACGGCACCGCCTCCACGCATGCTCCTGCCTCTCTCTCTCAGTTCACTCCACTCCCCTCTCATCTCACTCTACGCTCATCCACGCATGCTCCTGCCTCTCCTCTCTCATCTCACTCCACTTCCTTCCACGCACGCTCCTGCGTCTCCCCTCTCATCTCACTCCACTCCCCTCTCGTCTCACTCCCCTCGCCAGCACCCAAGGCTGTCTGTGGAGTCCCCCATCTCCTCCCCTCGGTGTGGTAGTTTTGTGTTCTCCCCCTCTCCCTCCCCCTCCTCACGCGAGTGTTGTTCTCTCCGTGGCTCTTCTCCACTGGTCACGTTCTCAACATATCGCTTGAATAATGTCTCATTTTTTCTAGACACCCTTTTTAATTCACTTTGTATTTAACGTGAGTACTTTTTGTACATGCAAGGCCCGTTTGTCGGATCCACTGCTGGATGAGGCCCTCTCCCCGTGCCATGCGGCTTGCCGATAGTCTTCATTATTTTCCTCGCGTGATCCGTGGGATTACCCAGGATGCCCTCTTGGCAGCCACGTGGTCTAAAACACTGCAGGGGCGGGGGGGACCTACCAACTTAGCATTGAGTTGTTTGGCCAATAGCAGTTACATTGTACGTGTGGTTCTTGTCTAGCTACGAGAGGAAGCTCATGCAGAACGGATGGAGAAGTCACAAACTCCCCACAGAACGGAGCCCCAGTCGGGAATCGAACCCAGGGGCCCTTCTTGGTGCGTGGTTCTAGTGTTGCCATTGCACCACCACCCTGCCGTCCGACGATCAGACCGATGCCAACCTGGTAGCATGTCACTCCAAATGTGTTTCACGTGAACCGGTTTACATGAACCGGTTCGCATGATCCGGTCGCGTGAACTGGTCACCCGCGCTCACCAGCAAGATGAAGCGCGGTCGAGCAACCCTCGTGAGCGGCGCGACGCAGAGAGCGAGAGGAGCGAGAGAAGAGAGAGGCCTTCATCCAGCAGCGGATTGACAGTGGGTTGGGGGGTTGCTGTGGGTCTCCACGGGTGCACTGGCGGCGGTGCAGGATCTGCTACTCGTGCCTGGTGATGCTGCTGCTGCTGATGCGCCTCACCAACACGCACGGCGAGTACGTGCCCATGGCCGTGGCGCTCGTGCTCGGCTGGTGCAACACCATGTTCTTCGCCCGTGGCTTCGAGATGCTCGGCCCCTTCACCATCATGATCCAGAAGGTATGGCCCGCGGGCCCAACGTGATGACGAGGGCCCGCCGGCCTCTCCGTGCGCTGGGCACTCCCCCGACTGCCCTGCGGGTCCCAGTCCGGCCGTGCGGCCCGCATGCTCGGTAGCTACGCTGCAGAGTGCCAGCGCCACCCTGTTTGCCAGCACGTGGAGAGCGGCAGTGAAGCGGTTAGCGTGCCACGCTATGTGACCACACCCACGCGACGTTGATTCCCGCTCGGGGAAAACATCGGTGACGAATATGCAAAGCTGTCCCGGGCCCCTCCCCTCGGGTTCACTCCATCGTAGGCGCGGTGTGCAAACGTCAGCACTGGGGAGACAAAGGCGGCCGGGCGTGGTGCTGGCCACACCACCCTCTCATGCGTCGCACCGCCCTTCATAGGTGCTACTCGCTAAGGGCACTTGCCCCCAACAGCCTGTGTATGCTAGACGAGAGATCTTTGCCCACGTATGTCCATAAATAGTGCAGTAAGAATGCCCCATTCTCATCCCCACAGATGCTGTTTGGAGATCTGCTGAGGTTCTGCTGGCTCATGCTCATGGTGCTCCTGGGATACGCCTCAGGTAGCCGTGGGCTCGGTGGAGATGGGGAGACGCGCGGATCGCTGCTCCTTGGCACGGATGATCGGAGCATCCGGCGCAGTTGGTTACACGAAGTATGGGGCCACCCGTCCAGGTTTTCGTCTTCATTGAGACAGCAACTGTCCTGGGACGTTTCACAGCGTAGCCACAGCCAGTCGCATTATACGGCAGTCCTTCGTTAGTCACGAATTTGGCCTTCCACGATTTTGTCTGTCTGCGAATCGCGTCTGGAACTCTAGCTTCATCGAGAGCAAGTGAGAGAGAGAAAAGGAAATGTGATGAGATAAGGTGATGAAATAAGATGATGAGTTTATTTAGAAACTATTTGTATTTAGTTAATTATACCTAACAGCTTATTTATGTATTTATTTAAAGGACTTCATTAAAACGATTGGATTTTCGGAGGCCAATATCCATTTCTGTGAAATGTGCTATTCACGAGCATCTCCGGAATGTATCCCCCTCCGCGAATAACGAGGGGAACGTCGTAACAATAATTAAGACGCCACTCGGGACGATGCGATGGCGTGTGGTATCTCCCTTCGTCTTCCCATGGTGGTTCCTGGCTACTCGCAGGCCCCCTTTTGTCACTCCACTGTTGGATGAGGACCCCTCCCCACACCGTGCGGGGCATGGGGGTGTTGGTCGCTTGACCATACTTCTCCACTCCGGTCAGGATCCTACCGTACGCGAGTCGCCCGCCTGCAGGGGCTACAGCATGGCCAGAAGGTGGCAGTACAGCAAATGGGCTGCCGGTGTGTTGGCGGGTGCTCTGCTTTGCTCGCATGCCGTAAACAACTTGAGACGCGGCGTTTTTTCCAAAGCGTCCCGAAGCAAGACCCTGCTGAAAAAGGCTTGAGACACAAAGTGCAAGTGGCTTTTTTTCCTCGGCAATAATGCGAGCTACGATTTTTATTTCCCCCGTCACCGATCACTCTGAGACCCAAGCTACACTGCGACACAAGTGCCGCTAACGCCGTTCACCTATCAACCACGGTTGAGGACCATATGAATCGCTGCTTCATTTATTATGGCCTGTGGCCATAAGGGGCCCACCAATTTGAAAAGGCCCGTGAATAATGTTTCTCTGTCCACGGCAAGCATCCTATTCAATTTTTTTTCTTAAACTCTTTTTATTGCACCAGGTAAGTCCCCACTGAGCTATGTAGCCCTTTTTCAGAAGCGACCTGGCCACAAATGACTTATCATCATGTGGACATTTCTTGCAGCCAAATACTGTAAATACGTGATATTGATTCTAAATGTCGAGGCAAAAACCGGAGGACCCGGTGACAAATCCACGCGACCACGGGTAGATAGAGACATGTAAATATATACAGTGGACGTCAGGATCGGGATCGAACCAACGATGCCCTGTGTACCAGGCGAGGGAGATAACATCTCACCACCGTCGCACTGCTAGCTGCACTAATCGGATACTGGGGGGGGGGGGGACTAATTTCGACCTCCCAACACCCCGCATTTCCTATTGCAGCGCCACGCTCAGTCACTTTTGCCATTGCGACTGGCGACTGCCTCCACCGAGTGACTGAGGTATCACCGAGGTGTGAGAGTATGAATGTGTGACTGTGTGGTTGCCCACCAAACGTGTTTGAAACTTCTCTTTGGCCCTCAGTCAGGAAAATCCTCGTTGTATGTTAAATGTAGCCAACCGTGCCAATCGGAGGTGCGGGAGAAGGACAACAAACTAACCACAAAGAGTAGTTCTAACGCAATGAGTTGTCAATGTAAATTATTTAAAAGTGCATAGCTCCGGTGGCTTCCTAATATTGAAAGAAGAGCATTCCAGACCGCCGTAGAAGCGCATCTGAAAACGCCGCGCAATGCGGCGACCGTCTTCGTTCGACGGCTCACCAAAAGCCACCACCGCTGCGAGGACGATGGAAGTTTGCGTGAGGGGAGTTTGCGTTGACTCTTTGAACCCTGCATGGCCCATTCCGCCCCCCCCCCCCCAGCCTTTCACATTTGCTTCCAGCTGCTGAGAAGGGAAGACTTCCTGCACTTCGCTGGCTTCGAGACGGTGCTCTTCACCATGTTCCAGCTCTTCCTGGGCCTGCTGGACATCCCGATCCCGTATGACAAGCAGGTCCCCATCATCATCAAGCTCGTCTACGTCTCCTACATGATCTTCGCCTTCCTGCTCATGGTGAACCTGCTCATCGCGATGATGGGCGACACGCATTGGCGCGTGGCGCACGAGCGTGACGAGCTGTGGCGGGCGCAGGTAAGGGTGGTGTCGGTGCCGCCGGCAGGGGGGCATTGAGCGGGCGGTGTCGAGGTTTGGCGGGCGGGAGGGTGGGCTGGCGAGCCAGGCTGTGTTCAGACAACGCCGCGTGATGGATGTACGCAACGCCGTGTAGCGAATGATCGAAGCGTAATAGCCCCTACGCACGTGCCGGGCACGTAGCTGTGCACCGGATGTGCTCTGCACTCACCGGTTGCTCGTTGAACCAAAAGGGACCCAAGACGAACCGTGCCGATGAGGCCTTGTCAAGCTTGCCGTGGACGAGCCTTGCAACTCTGTCAAATACACGCATCGCCACGTATTTTACCCAACACTCAGTTACCCCCCAATCCCCCCGTGTACGCCTGCTGGAAATGTTGCGGTGTGTCGATTCATCTTCATTCTCATGCTCGCGACACACGTGCTGTGAGTCGTGCGCGTAAATATCTGTCCACACAATTTCACGAGTGGCAAATTGTCCGCACGTAATGTTACGAACGGAAATGCCCCAGCGCATGTTGTATTCGAGCTAATTGAGTGGGCAGCTGCACAAACGAGACAAACAAAAAAAACTAATTTGAACTGAAAGATTTCATCCTCAAATGAATTCGAGCCTCTCACTGTATTTGTTGCGCACATACTTTCCTAAATATGAGGGGCACTCGGGGGCACTCGGATATGCTGGTCACGTGAGCTCTCTGCCACGGTGACGAGATGTTAACTACCTCCCCTGGTCTATATTAGGTCGTGGGATTGAGCCCGACCGTCATGCCTGCTGTATATTTGGAGTTTGCGTGTCTCTCTCTCTCCCCGCGGTTGCGTGGATTTTCTCTGGGCCCTCCGTGTTTTCCCGCCACATTTAGAATCAACATCACGCGTCTAGAGTATTTGGGTGCTATACATTTCCACATCATGATAAGCCGTTTCGTTGAGCTAGCATTTGTGGCCAGGTCGCTTCTGAAAAAAAGCTACGTAGCTCTGTCAGCTTAACCTGGTAAAATAAAAATAAAAAGTTTTAGTTTGCTTGCATTGGGGCCTAAAGACTCCTACGGGCCTGTACTCACACGGGGATGAGCAAAAACATGATCATGCGATCTAGCATGCACATGCGCTCACTTATGTCGAGGGTAAATGGGCGAGGTTTAGGACTGTGACTCATGCAGCTGCAATGGCTGCTTTGGTTACGCGGTCCAGACCTACCCCAGAGACCCTGGCTGACAGAGGAGGTGTTCAGGATGGTTGAGAAAAAGCGGCAGGCCCACTGTCATTGGCTACAGAATCCCACGTCAGAGAATGAGGAGGCTTCAGGTCTTCTCGGCCACGGTCATTCCCTCCCTTCTCTACGCTTGCGAAACGTGGACCCCCCTAATGGAGCATCTTCGCCAGTTAGAAACATTTAGGCTGGCCTGCCTACGATCCATCCTGAGTTTAACCAGACTGGATTGTGTGAGGAGCTCACAAATCCTTGAAAGATCTGGGCAAGGTCCCATCGGTGAGCTCCTCCGGCGGGCAAGGCTGCGATGGCTGGGTCATGTTGCCCGCATGCCCAGCCACTGCATGCCGAAACAGCTTTTGTTCGGCCGGATTGAGGGGGCTAAGCGGGCGCGGCACGGGCTAGAGAAAAGATGGAGTGATGTGGTACAGGAGGACGTGGAGCTGAGTGGACTTGCCGATGACTGGTACCAGCGGTGTCAAGATCGGCCTCTGTGGAGGAGGCTCGTGAGGGATGCTACTGGGCAGTTGGAGGTAGCCGCCCTCCAACAACAATGGAGGGCGGAGGAGCGACGCTCACAACAACAAGCGGAGCACCGGGTGGCTGAAGCACAGCGGGTTGGCACAGTAGGGGGCACAGGTGGTGCATCAGCCAGTCATCTCAGTCAGTCGACCCGTGGCACCTGGGTCTGCCCCGTGACCTCCTGCCAGCGGGCGTTCGACACTTCACGTGGCCTCAGGGTGCACATAGCCTGGCACAAGCGTCGTGGTGACGTCACCACCACTTAGTGGCGAATGGCGGTTGTTGTTGTTGTTGATATGTTTCTGTCTGTGTGTGTGTTTCTCCATATATCTTCGTACGTCTCTACATGTGTCTGTGTGTGTCTCCGCGTGTCTCTGCATGCTGTCAATCTTCTCCACGTGTCTGCGTGTATTTCTCCGCGTGTCTGCATTTTTTCATGCTTCTCCGCATGTCCCCACGCGTGTCTTCATGTTTCCGTGTGTGTTTCTGCATGTCTGCACGTAGTTTAGTTTGTCCGCACGTCTCCTTGTGCATCTTCATCGGGCTGCGTGTGTCCACGTGCCTACATGTCTCCACGTGGTTGAGTGTCCGCATGTCTCCGCGTGCGTCCCCGCGTGTTTGCTCGTGCCGCGGGGCAGGTGGCCGCCACCACAGTGCTCCTGGAGAGGCGGCTGCCCCGCTGGCTGTGGCCTCGGCTGGGCTACCGCGGGGACGACTTTGGCCTCGACAACAACAAGTGGTACATGAGGTACGTCCTGTGCTTGAAGCGGCGCGGCCGTCCGTGGTTTGCCGTCGCTGGTATGTCCGGTAACGGGCTCCATCGCTCGCTCCTCTTTCGCTCGCTCCATTGCTCGCTCCTCATACTCCATCGCTCGCTCCTCACGTCCGGTAAGGGGCTCCCTCGCTCGTTCTTCTTTCCGTCGTCGTATTGTGGGCGATGACGGGGGCTGGGTGAGCGATTTCAACTGCTTCCCTTCCTCCGGATGGTCATGGGCGACCGCCTCCTCTTGAGCGGTGTTTCTCAACTTTTTAGGCCCACAGATCACTCGGCCGATTTAAATACCCAGCACCCCCCCACCCCATTTTTCACGAGCAATTGTCTGTAAATACCGGTAATACAAAATAATTCACATGACTGCTTTTTGTGTTTAGTTTGTCGTCCTTCCCCCCTGCACCTCCGATCAGCATTGTTGGCTACATACAGTGCGAAAGAAGTTTCGCATGCATACCAATTTTTTCTTTTATTAAAAGCAGCTATTAGGTTTCTTTTTAAGACAGGCATTTAGATCTTAGTGTTAGGGTAGTTTCATGAGGGTTAGTTTACCCTAACTTCATTTAAAAAAAATTAAACATCAAGTTACATATTCATTAATGCCTGAAACAAAACAGGTATAATAAGCGTTGTCGTTCATTTGTCCGGATCAACCTTCGTCTGCATTACAGCCACAGCACACCACCTGGAGGACCGTCATGGACCACCGGTAGTCGCGGTGACTACACTCTGAGAACCACTGCTCTCGACCTATGTGTTTCGCTTTAAGGCCTCTCCTGTGTGCTGTCAATCCACCACATCAAGCACACTTGTTGTATTCCATCATCGTTATTGTTATGATCGTTCCGCCCATTAACCTAGGAACGCCTCGCTTAGCCTCGAGACTCTTGTTCGGCAGGGTCCTGCCAAGCCTTGGCAGTCGTGGGGGGCTGCTGTGTGTGTGGGCCCTATTGAGGAATGAGCAGGTCATTTTTCAGAATTGGGGTGGTTGGCCAGTACCAGTTGTATGTATGTACATTGCTCTTGTGTCGCACCGTTCGTCGCCAACCGTGCTAATCGTTTTGGGAAAAGCCACAGGACACAGAGGAGACCCATGCAGACGAGGGAGAGGACAAACAACTTACACTCAGAAATGCACTCGAGTTGGTAATTGAACCCATGGACTTCTTGTTGTGTGACACAAGTGTTAGCACTGGGCCACCCCTGCTACCGGATGATAACAGTGGAAATTAAGGCCTTGTCGGATTTAGAAATATTTAAAATGCTTCGCCAACCGCCGAAGTCGCGGGCTTGCTTCTGTATCGCCATTGAAATGCGGCCGTGCCAATGGTCGCCGTGCCGACGGTCGCCGTGATGATGGTCACCATGCGTGTCCCGGCCCCCCCCCTCCTCCCTGTCAATCGGCACCCCAGGGTGGAGGACAGCAACGAGAGCACCATGTTCAAGATGAAGAAGTACGCACGCACCCTCAAGAAGACTGAGGCCGATGACTGCCCCGTCATGCGGCCGCCATCGTCCAATCTGCAGGTCGGCCTCGCGCGCAAGTCCGGCCGCGGCTGGCGCATCGTGCGGCGATCCACCATGGGAGAGATGGGGGACCCGGCCCGCGAGGCGGAGACCACGGGCCCGGCCTACGACAACGAGGAGGCGGAGATGGTCTACAACGTATGAGACGACGCGGAGCGCACGCTTGCTCTTCAAATCGGTGTGGTCCGTGTCCGTACGATCGCTCGCTCGCTATCGATGGCCCGCAGCCGAATTGCCTCCACGCGTCGCGTCCGCCGAAACGAGCGGCGAGCCGTCGCGGACACCGACGAACCCCCACCGGTTAGGCGGGCGGGTCTGCTCGCCAATTTTAAAAGCGACGTGTTTCAAAACGGGTGGAGCTTCACCGGAGGGGTGCGGGGCTCCGCTGTGAAAGCACATGGCTCGACGTCCGTGTGGGCTCAACTACTCGCCCGGATGTGGGCAAAACAGCTTGCGGGAGCGATGATTTTGGTTGAAGCGATCTGGTTGCGCAACCTGATCGCCCGGGCGTGGGGACCTGCCTTCGGGGAGGGGGGCCTTTATTACCGGTGGCGAGACTCGAATGTTTAACGGCAATAACGCAGTTTATCCTTAGGCTGTTTTTGACGTGCACCTTCGGTCTCCGGGGATGGCGCCGCCGACGGCTCGGGCAGGGCAACTCGCGTTTACCATTGCTCCGAGAATCGGTCCTGTTTTTTTTTACGTCACCGTTGACTGCCTCGAACACACTGGGGGAAACAAAAAAAACACCGGCTAATACCAGTTTGTGTTGGACACGTGTCAATGCCTAGAGCAATACAACGTGAGATCAAAAAAAAACACACACGTTTTACTGAAAAGCAAGGGAAAATTAATCACGTGGTCACTCGGCCCGTTGTACCGTTTGTACGTTCGCGCGCGCCAATCGGGGGCGCGTTCTGAAACCCGCTGTGAGGGCCCCTCAGCCAGCTGTGGATCACTGAGACGCACGCATTTCTGCGCAAGCACGGGGCGGCTGGCGGGGGGTTGTTGTGTGCCGGTGTTGCGTATTTTTATGTTTGTCGCATTACCTTGTTCATCTGGCTATCTTTGTAGGGCAAAATGGTGAGTAATTAGTCATTATTATTTTAAATCGCTGCCTCCACCCAAACGGGAGAGCAGAAAGTCGAAGGATTTGTGGCACCATGGCTACGTTTGAGCTGCTCACTTTAACTATAAGCAGTCGCCGAGCCTTGTCTCAGTAGCTCCCCGGTACGAGAGCTCCTGTTCAATATTATCTCTGACTTTTTTTTTTTAGGGACAATTAGGTTCGTGTTTTTGGTGGGAGGGGGGGGCGCGGTGGGTGCGGCGGATGGTGAGACAAAGCCGAGAGGCAATACTTGAGTGATGCCCTCATCCTGTGTGGGCTGCTGTGTCCCTGAAGACACGATCCGCCAGAATCATCCGTAATGCATCCATCGGAACTCGCAAGCCTGGATATCGCTTTGATGGGCAACCACCGTGCGCAGCAGCTTGTGGTATAGGCTGCCCTTCTGGAGTGGGCAGCAGAGGGGCAATGCAACAAGATATATTGTTGTACTGTACTTCTGTGCCCCACCCCCAACCTGCCTATCACAAACCCATGCTAACTGGTTCATCTTGGCGAACGATGGTCAGACAGCCGCCCGTGACCCGTACGGTGTGGGGAGGCCCTCATCCAGCAGTTGAGTGATAAAAAAAGTCTGTACAGGTGCACCACTAATTTCCCTCGGTTCGGTATTCTGTCGTTTTAAGTTGGTGATTATTTCGAGGTCTGGAAGCCAGCGAGGCAATTGCGGCAACAGCAAAGCCGCAATGTCGAAAAAACACTCAGGAGCTCCAGACTTGGAGCCTTGGACTCATGCTGTTAATAATATTGCGTTTGCCTTCGCTGTCCTGGTATCAGATGTCTTAACTTGAATTGTGCCTCAGATTGTATTCTTTTTGCACGCTGCAGAACTGCGCGTCCGAGCGAAGGTTGCGAGACCCGTTCGTGTTCACTGAAACGCTTGGCTTAAAAAGATATTCCCGAATATTATTCCAAATGCGAGACGCCGTTCCGTGAGAAGTGAAGCGCCAATGGACGATGATCCCATTTGTTTGAAGCTCACAATGCACGCACACAGCGGTCGGTGTTGCACGGTTGGTTTGTTCAACTTTTGGAAGGTGACATTGTGAGATGTTTTAGATGATTAGGGTTTTTTTTTGCCAGTGGACTGAACCACGTGTCTGCAAATGTTTTGTCCGTGGGGCTGACGGTTCTATAGGGCCCGCGGGATACGATTGCAGTTATGAGGTTGTCCTATCAGTTGAACATGTAGTAGGCTTTCGCGACCAATATTATCCATAACAGAAGTTTTTGAATAGAAAAAGAGGTTTGTGAATATACATGTGTCATTAAACCCGCCACACAGCCAAATAGTAAGGTTTGTCACGTAAACAACACGTGCCAATTCGTTACTAGTTCAGCACTCTTGTGTGTTGGAGAGTAAACCCACTACAACATCTGCAATTTGAGTACTTAATTGTAAATGAGTAATTTTAAATGTTGTAGTGGGTTTACTTTCCAACACACCGGTGTGCTGTACTAGTAACGAATTGGCATGTTCTGTTAACGTGACAAACCTTACTAGTTGGCTGTGTAGGGTGGTGGCGGGTTTAATGACACATTTTATATTTTCGCGATCTAACCCAAAACCCTCTTAAGGTTGTCCTTTGCTCGCACGAGATTCTGGTTCCTGATGATATGTGCACTGCAAACCAACAAGGCTGGGTAACCTAAACACTCCTTTTCACCAAATTCAGGGTAATTTGTCAAAATAGTGTTTTTTAGCTCCACATGTACGATGCATGATCATTAAAATAATCACGAACAAATATTTAACAATAAATAGGTGGCAACGCTGTTTTCCACAATCTACCGCCTGGCGTCTTGATTTGCCTTTTGTTGTCTTAACGTTTCTGCTGTGGTTTTGTGTGGCATGGGCAAACGTTTCCGTCTCGTACACTTCGTGAATACAATTTGCTTTTAAAGGGCACTTTTAAAGTAAAATAAGCACAGTACTCCGAAAGCCATTGGCGGGCCCTGCCAATCTGCCATCCATGGAACTTGGCTGGCCATCGAACAAAGACGGTTGCTTCGTCGCTCGCTTTCAGGAGCACTTGTGCGGACGTCTGGAACGCTCTTCCTTTCCGACATTCGGAAGCCACTTGAGCTGTGAACTTGTAAATCATCTAGATTGACAAGCTCATTTTGATTGGAACTGCTTTCGTGTTTGGTTTGTTGTTCTTCCCCCGCACCTCCGATTAGCATGGTGGCTAAGTACTGTGCGAAAGAAATTCAACATGCAAACATGACTAAATCATCAAATTCAAACGTATTTTTAAATCTTGGTTCAAATATGTCATTGTGCCACATCAGCGTTCCTGATATGTCTTGGAATAGCGTTCCGGAGGCAGGAAACGTAATAACTTTAGACCTCTGATGATTTTAGAGGATTCCTCGGAGTGACTGAGAATTCAGCGTTCTCCGATATCCAACGGCGGAGGGACAAGGTGGTTGGCAGTTCCTGTAAATATAAAAACGCAAGACGAAGTTAAAACCCTCTGAGCAGGAAGTAGAATTTCATACAATCGTGAATCGAACGAGAAACAATCGCATTTGTTCGGGGAACGACGAGACCCAAAAAAAATGGATCTTACGCAGATCAATATCCAGACGGGGAGTGCCCTGGCTGTCCGGCACGCGTCGGCTGCGTTTTGAAAGTCGAGCAGCGCTCATGGTCTGCACCACAGCACACTCCGGTGACGTCGCCGCAATGTTCACTGCTGCATCAACGGAGTTGGCGGGTATCCCTCTCGCTCACCCGGTGGTCGCGTGGATTTTTCTCCGAGTCCTCCGGTTTTTCTCAAACATTTATAATCAACATGGGCTTTAGTGTATTTGGCTACTACTGTAATTGGCCGCGTGATAAGGGGCCGTCCATAAATGACGTCACGCACCTAGGGGGGGGGGGGGGGGTCAGACATTTGTGACGATGTGTGACGAGGGGGTTTGAGAAATTTGAGAAATGTGACGTCACATCAAAATGGGCAACTTTAAATAAATAGACAACACGTTCTACTTAATTAAATATACTTTTTTTTAATAAATGTTATCTCCTACAACATCAGAGTGCAGCGCCACATTAAAAACGCACTACAATGACAATAGTTTAAAGCGATTTGAAGCATGTTTAAATTTTTCGGAGGGGGTGGGGGGGGCGCAAAGCTTTGTGACGTAATATTTTTGAGGGGGGGGGTCTGACTTTTTGTGACGTCGTGTGACGATGGGGGGGGGGGGGGTCAAAAATCGTCCAAAATCGCGTGACGTCATTTATGGACGGACCCTAAGCCACTTCGTTGGGCTATCATTTATGGTCAGGCAGCTTCTTGAAAAAAGCCACATGGTTCAGTGGGACCTGATAAGAGAAGTTACTGTAAGTGGCTTGGGTGGGACAGGGCACTCGCAGGGACGTTGGCTGGTGGTCGAGACTGAGGACGGGGCTGGCTTCCCCGGGTCTGACGGTTGGGGCGCGAATTCCAGGCCACGTGGGCCCCGGGGCGCAGCGAGACGGACGATGGCAAAACAACAAGAAGAGCCGTGCAATTTACTCTCGCACGGTAAGCAAATAATTGTCCACTGCTGGATATATTTAGCACGACGTGAATTATCGTCGACGGTGCGGTGTGTTATGATCCTCCCAGTGTCTGCGCGATGAGTCCTGCAATGGGCTGAGCTGTAGTGATTGTCGAATGATCATTACTGGGGGGGGGGGGGGGTGGGTGAGGGTCGTTATTCCGGGTTTCACTTGGTCGCGGAGACTGCCCTCCTCAAGGTCGCAGCAACAAATTTGCTCGTAGCTGCCGACGACTGTGGCGGTGGGCATTGTCCATGGATGGCCACCAGAGGAGGGCAGAGGAGCGACGCTCAACAGCAACGTGCGGAGGCTTCCGGCCGGCAAAAACACCGCGAGTTGGCACAGCAGTAGGGGGAGCAGGGGGGGGGGGGGGCGAAAAGTTGGTGCATCTGCCAGGCGTCTCGGGCAGTCAACCCCACGGCACCTGGGTCTCACGCCGCGACCTCCTGCCAGCGGGCGTTCGACACCTAACGTGGCGTTAAAAGTTCACACAGTCTGGCACAAGCGTCTTGGCGACGTCACCGCCACTTCGTGGCGAATAGCGGCGGCGGTTGTTGTTGTTCCATAATCACTCTGTCTGACCTGAGTGCAGTGTTCGACACTGACGATCCCAGTGCACTTTTGCATAGCCTCGAGTCCAAAGACACAAATATCCCACGTGAAGCCTTACCAGACTGTTGGGGCAAGTGCTCTTCGCGAGCACCGATGAAGGCCGGCACGGCACACGAGGGGGTGGG